CGTCCCTTCCTCAGGTGGTGACTTTGTTTACTATTTCTTCTTCCATCTCCCTCTTTCTTTTCCCTTCTTTTTTCCCTTGTTCTATTTCACGCTCGTTCCCCCTTTTCTACATTGACCTTCGTTTCCATCGATTGCTTGGTTATTATCATCAAGTCATCGCTTCACATTCGTTTTTCGACCTCCAATATGGTAGCTTGGACGCGTTTCAAGTTGCTTTTGGCCATGGTCACCACTCTGGTGACCATGGCTGCCGCTTCGGCTGGTATGTATCATGGCTGATAACTGGCTACGTTATGATCTCTTACTGACCTAGTTGCCAAACAGAATGCCATGATATCGAGACGGTCTTTCTTCAGGACCCCTACACTGGGGAGCAGTACCAGTTTGGTGAAAGTAAGTCAAGCTCACTGTTTGGGTCTACCTTGGAATCTGCTGTTACTGATCATTTTTACAGTCAATGTTTTGCCTCGCGCCTTGTTTGGTCGTGCTGTTCAAGCTTCCGAACTGAGTAAGTACAGGCTCTCCTCATCCTCTATAAGGAGATTCCTCAATTTCCTGGCCTTTTTTTAGACAAAAATTAACTTGATACTAGTCACTGTCACGGTCACCCATACTACCTGCGGTCATGCTGAACCAACCACAACTGTCACCACAGATGTCCCTTGCACCACTGGTCATTCTCTCACCACGGAGTCTACTACTCCAGTTCCGGTTCAGGTCACTACCTCCTCGACCCTGGTGCCTGTTACAACCCAGACTTCTGTGTCCAGCACCCCCGACGTGTCTTCTCAGTCGACTGCACCGGTTTCCTCCCAGACTCCGGTGCCTATTGCCCCTACTCAAACTCCTGTGTCTAGCACTGCCAAGGTGACCACCCAGTTATCTGTGCCTGCTGGCCCTCACAGTTCTGTCCCCAGCGCTACTGAGGCGACCACCAAGTCTTCTGTACCCGGAACTGCTCAGACCCCGGTGCCCAGCACTACTGAGGTGCGTACTGGAAGCAGCTCTGTGACCAGCATTGGATCCTCCACGGTTACTGCCACTTCCACTGAGTCGGTCTCTTCTTCTCGTCCTAATGCTACCAGCGTGGCTCCTGTTCCTGCCACCACTGCTGAGGACCACACCACTTCCACGGTTTCTGCTATTTCCCCCTCTGAGGCCTCTCCTGCTCCTGGTACCACCGAGGTTCCTGGAACTGCTTCCGAGATAACTACCGGGTCTATTACATCTTCTCGTCCTACCAACGTGGTTCCTGTCCCTGGTACTACTGGATCTGCTTACACAAACTCAACTGTTCCCCAGGCTCCTAGCACTGTGACTGATGTGACCACTTATTACACTACGTCTCCTTGCCTCAATTCAACTGGACTGGCTCCTACTCCGGTGACCACTGAAATCACTGTCACCGTTGAGGTTCCTTGCACCGAGACCACCAAGTGTGTCAGCACCAAGATTCTTACCACCAGCACCCTGACTGTCTCGAACGCAACTGTTCCGGCTCTCACTCCAGCCACTACGACCACTGAGGTTCAGTCGACTGTTCCCGTTCCTGTCCCGGTTACCACTGAAGAGGTTACTGTCACGGTTGAGATCCCTTGCACCGAGAGCACCAAATGCATCAGCACAAAGGTGTACACCACCACCCCTACGGAGACTACCACGATCTCTGTGACTCCAGTCCCAGTCACAGTTCCTGGTACCCCTCCACAGGAGACCACCAAGGTCATAACTACTGTGGTCCAGCCAACTGTTCCTGCTTCGGTTCCGCAGGCTCCTAGCCACGAGGTGACTAGCGAGATTAAGCCAACTGAATTGGTTCCACTTCCACCCGCCACTACTGTCGAGGCTACTACTTTGGTCAAGGTTCCTGCTCCTCCTGCTCAGCAGCCTACCACTCATGAGACCACCGAGACTCAGCCAATCGTGGTGGCCCCAACCACTCTGGCTACTACTACAGAGTCCAAGGTCTCAGTTGTGCCTCCTCAGGAGCCTACTCACACCCAGGAGGATACCGTCCCGCCATCTCCTCATGGTACTTCTCCAAGCGGCACTCACGCCCCTTCTCCTGTTTTCAACGGTGCCAATACCGCTGGAATCATGGACAGCCGCCTCTTTACCATGAGCATTGTGGTTGTGCTGTCTCACGCCTTTCACTTGATTCTGTGAGAACGCCACATTCTCTTACCGTGTTAGGAGGCGAGTCTAGCCATCTTCTGATGTAGCAAGGATAGTACCTGATGCGATGACTGTGTTTGCGATGGAATCTGAGGAACCCATGTTTTGATGGGTGGCCGTTTGTTCTTTTATGGGATGCAACTGGCTCCCCTTAATCTTGCAAATTTTATTAGTGACTCATATTCTAGTTGAAGCATAGCTTTTCTAATCTCAAGAATGCTCACTATTGGTTGTGTTTAAATGATAAAGAGACTAAAGCATTTTGTGATCTGTAATCTTCAACTGAAGAGAAAGCCCGAGGACAAAAGAGCTGGCCGAACAGTGTGTTCGGGTAGTTGGATTTCGGTCGTGAAACAAATGTTACAGATAAAGAAAAGTAGTACATGTAGTACGTATGTAGTGAGCAGCCAAAGCATTGAACATAACGCATCTTTATCAAATGAACAATGACCAGTGTGATAACCTCACAGAATGGATGAATGCCTAATATCCCCAATAAATGGGTACAGTAGCTTGGCTAAAAGCCAGGGTATCTCAGAGAAACAAGGAGAATGTATAGGTATGTGCACATGGAGTATACACACAGGACAGACGTGAATGGGTACAGATTTCCCCAAAACAGAGTTCAAACCTCAGCCTCACCAGCAAGGGATTCAATGTCTCTCGTCAAAGCACAGATCCGACATCCATCGCCGACCTTGTCTCGCAGGATTCTTGCCGTCGTGACTTTGGGACCAACAGTGCGAGAAGCGGTGGCGGATCGGGTTTCGTCGACTGGAGACATGGCTCGGGGTGTAACGTCGGCAGATCGGTCACAGCTGTTCGTGCCGGATTGTTGCTGTGGCGTGTCTGGGTGTAAGTGCGAAAGATGGAAAATATGGCCACAAGCAAAGCCAACGAGTATTTCTCGCTCTGTGGTGTTATTATTAGCATTGCTTTTCCGAAGATAGAATACGGAATGGAGTTAGGTCAAAATCATACCATTTTCCCGGAAGGCCGCTTTGCAACCGCCGCATCTTCCCTGTCCAGAGCATCCGAATTTTCTCGCGCCGCTAGTCTCGGAGATTTTATCTTGAGCTTGGGCCTTCGTTGGCGGTGTCTTATTGAAATCTTCCTCTCCGTCTTTGGCGATATCGAACTTGATTCCCCGGCGCTGACCTTTGCGCAGCGAGTCCATTCCAAGCGCAACTTCGCTTTGCGTGACCCTGGCCGCACCTTGGCTGATACTAGCCTGCAGATCGTACTCACGGATCAAGCGAGTGAGGCCCTCCCTTAGACCTTCAATTTCCAGCCCGCTCGGAATCCGACGCACAAGCTTTATCGGGTCGATGGCTGTTCCGGCCTCAATAAGAAGACCATGAATGAACATTGGCTTGTCCATGGAGTAATCAAGCAGGTCCTCCCACAGATCAGGATCCTCCTGTGATTTTGCAAATGAAATGGCCTGTGAAACATCCTTGAGATCCGACAGAATCAAGTTCAAGGCTCGCTTCGTCTGGCCCATCTTGGACAAGAGGAAAATCAACTCTGGCGTGAATTTGTGGTCTTCGCAGATGGATGTGGCTTTCTCGAATGAATAAGATATGCTTGTTTGGAGGAACTCCATCAGGAGGGGCCGGTCGTAGTCGGCAAATACCTCAACGGCTGTATCGGCAAAGTTATCAATCAGGGCTTTGCCTTCATCGGCAGCAAGCTTGCTGGCTGCATCCCGAGAATGGGTCCCACGTCCTCGTCTGGGTTTAGAGGCGTCATGTGGTAGTGATTCACCCCGCCAGAGCGCGCGGAGATAGAAATAAAGAAACAAGAACCGGTTCGCGGCGATCAACTGCAATACTACGGTATCTGGGGGAACAATGCCCGTGTATGCTTCACTTACAAGGAGTCGCGTTGGCTCAGATGTCAACTCCTCCAGTTCGAATTTCGTGGCTGACTTCATTTGCTCTTGGGAAACGCGAATCATAATGAAGGCCGGTACATCGTCAGTGACTGCGTCGAGCAAGCGATGTTCCCGAACCAAAGCCATGGCAGCATCTCCATCTTGCAACCGAATATAGCAACGCAAGGCTTCGCGGTAATGCCCTCCTACCAGGAACAACTTGGCGAGGCAATCTGTGAGGATTCGCCACTCCTCAGACCCGGCGCGCACTGATTCGGATTTCACCTGTGCTTCGATAGCTTCTGTAACCACATTCGCAACAAACAAGTCGGATGGCCATGTTTCGATCAGTTCTTTGAATTTGACCAAGTCTTGTGACACATAGTGAGTGAGAATGACTTCGTAAATCCGAGAAGACAACGGTGGATTTAAGTCAACCGGGATTTGTGAAGTGATCTCGTCGATTTTATCTTTTTTGACAAAGGTCCATGCCCAGTGTTCCCACCGTGGGGTATTTCGGATGACTTTGCCACAAATACCCGCAGCGTCAGCCCACTTCTCTTCGCTGACAAGTTGGTTGATCCAAAGTTCCCCTAGGCGAGCTTTTTCTTGTTCAGCAGCAGAAACTCTCGTCCGACCAGCCGTCGTGATGGATGACCGATCATCAGCAAAAAAGTCACCCAAACTAGTTTGCGACCTTCCTGCAGCCTCGGAAATAACTTCGGTTAGGTCAGGTATCGAGCCCGCAGCTTCGGGATGTTGATCGACGAGGCGCCATGCGCCCTCATACTGACCATGGGAGTCAAGCCACGACAAACGGTCCGCAAGATCCCTTTTCACTGCAACAACGCAGTCATATGGGCTGTGGACAAAGATTTTGGCACCAGGAGCACCTGAAACTTCTTGTACCTCCTTCGGAAGGGACTCCTCAGCCGCGTGGAGTTTGGACATGAAGGAGGGAGCAACTCTACCAGAACCCTTATCGCCACTACTCGTGGTACTGCGAATGCTGGCGCCGGAGCTGAATAGCCGTGCAGGGTACATAGTAGCATCCAAAAGCCCATACCCAAGAGCCCCCAGTGCACCACGCTGGACGACTTGTCCCTCTGGCGTCTTCCACGGGGGCAAGACACTTAGATGATAATCAGACGCCGAGAGACCTTCAAACCGGTTTACTGAAAGTGTATCAGCGCTGATTTCTTCCTTGGTTTCAATGTCAATGACACGAAGCTCAGGTTCCAGGCCCTTTTTTCGATTACGTGTCCCACTGCCTCTTCCGTTTCTTGCAGTTTCACCTTCGGTTTCCATATATGCGAGAATGACAAGAAGACGAGGCGTATACAATGAGATGCCAGATACCACGCAATCCGTTCGTAATCTGTGTTCAAAGTTAGCGACGAACAAACCAACCAGTGAGATTTCCAGCTTACATTGTAACAACCTCTGCAGAGCCCAATCTCTCGCCCTTGGATGTTTTGCTTGCCCTCTCGGGATAGACATCGATGACCCAAACAGTTCCTCCCCAGCCGACGACAAGCTTTTCCAACCTTTCAGTGGACGGGGTTGAGTGCACCTCTGGACTTTCTAGACTGTCATCTGGATCGAGATTGTCCTGACTGTCTAAAGCAGACTGGTCGATCCATTCTGCGCGTGCTTTCCAAACACCGGCCATTTCATCCCAGCCGGGACGATTTGGACGATCAATATGACTGATTCGTTTCCAGGAAAACTCTGTCTCTGAAGAATCCAGATGCAAATTTGACCGCATAATCTTGATGCCTTCCTCGTTGACCCAGGCCACGTATTTTCCTGAAAGTGACCATTTAATTGTGCTTATAGCACCTTCTCCGCTGTGGATAATTGTATCTTTTCCACTATTGGCTGCCAGGCCCATGGACCCAAGCCAACTAGACGCTGTGGCGGCCGCACCCCCCATTGTTGTAGAGTTAGAGGTCGCTCCAATCCGACCACCAGTTGTCAGAACCAATTCACCCGCTCGGCCACCTGATAGGAATGCGCGGTCAGTTTTGTACTCTGGAGACAAAGCGACAGACTGAACTGGGCGTCCAAAGTTGCGCAATAGAACATCCTTGGGGTCTACTAGCGACGAGACGCAAACGTGGCCATCTATCGAGGAAGTTCCGATGTAAATCGAGTTCGATGGTGTGGGAGGCACAGCTGGATGATTACCCAGTTTTCCTTGGCCACTGATGCTGCCGGTGGTATTAGATGATCGCGTGGATGGTCTGTATTCTTCCGCGGTCTGCTTGCTGAAGGTGTCGTGCTTAATGTCGGGAAGCGGAAGCGGAGGCGGAAATGGCGATATCGATATTGAGGTAACACTCGCCGAGTGTGCATGATATACACGGAGGGGCTGTAGAAACGGCAAGGACATAACATGCTTGACAAGGTCAGCTCATATGTCTACGCGCAGGTGTGGCTAACTTACGACGTTCCCGTTGTGTGTCCCGACAACCTAGGCACATCGTTAACTCATTGTATAGCATAGGTTCCGCTAAGAATGCATACCATTTTATCTCCCGCTACGAGAAACGAGCTTGTCGCATCCCCGTTGCGATATACAGATCCCAGGTGTTTCGTAAGGTATGCGTATTTGAGGCGGGGCTCCTCGTCCTCGTCGTCCGAGTCATCCTCTTCCTCAGCCTCCACTTCTTCTTCTCCATCATCGCTGCTACTAGAGCTGTGGTCATTGTGTCGTTGGTCTCTATCTTGGGCGGCGCGTTCAGTCCTATTTGTAGGTGATCTGGTTCGTATGGATGAGTCGTGCTTGGGAGTGCTCTGAACGGCACTTTCGTCCGGCGGTGTCGCGCCAGGCGCGTCCATGGCGAATCCCTCTCAGCACCTGCAGCTCCCAAGCTGGTTGAAGTAGAATGCGACAAGCTGAAAAGGGGATTCTGTGGTTCTACAGTTGAGCCGGGGTAGGTCAGGGCCCCGAGCTTGGTTCCATGACTAAGCGGGGTATCGGGCCGCGGACTGCAAACGATGTCATCGAGCCACTGGGCTTTTGTTGCCCGGACACACCCACAATGTTTGCCAGGCCATATGTCTGCTTGAGCTGCAAGCGTCCAGTATCACGGCTTCCCAAGCGGCCGCAAATCCAATATCTTCATGCCTCTCCTCCATTAGCACTTCCCCGACAGAAGGATTTCTTCTCATCTAATGCGCATTTGAAACAAAAACAGAACAACACGGATGAACCAATTGAGTTCCGGGACTCCCAGAAGCGACGTCGACGGGGACCTAGGTTACCAGCAGCTCCCACTTCATTGCGGCGAGTAGCGGTCGAGGCACAGAGGTCAAAGGATGGCATTCTCTCCAAGGCGCTTCTCAAGGAGCAGGGACTAAATCGGACCAAGGTAGGCAAAACTGAGATTTCTATGATTTCCTTTCACTGATTGTTTCTGCATCTATAGACAGTGACCGCCTACGCCGTAGCCGAGCAATTCAACATCCGCCAAGTGAGAGATATTTTGCAGGAAAGAGGCTATGAACCTGACCCCTTGGAAACGGGACTCTTCCCGCAAGTCGTTCATGTTCAGATACCGTTAGACTCCATACAGCGCATGACGAATCCCTCAAGTACAGATTTGCCATCCGACGAAGTGGGCGATTTATTTGTGTTTCCCTCCGGTACAGTGGTAGCGTGGTCGCTCCCAGAAGGATTCACATCATTCCTAGCAACTCGAACTCTCTTGCCAGCAGCAGAAGGCGCCCATGTGGATGACTTGGAAACCGAGGATCTCGAATTCGTGGAGGATCCAAGGCGAGAGAACAGTGTGATCAAAGGGGATACAATTATACTAGGCACCAACTCTGGCCACGGAGATGCAGAGGGATTACCAGCAGCGCAACAATCCGTCGACACGGTGTTGACCAAGGTCGCATTTTCATCAGGCCTTGCTCGGAGCACGAAGTTGGCCGTCCTCGAAAGCCTTCTTTCAAACTATTTTGAATCGACTCGGCCAATTCCGACTCTTCTATCCCAGGGATCGCGTCTTCCTTTTACACGGGACTTTGTCCTCCGCAAGACGGGGCAGCTACTTAGTGTCCGAGCCCAGCTCAATCTTTATTCCGAGCTCACTGATTCCCTTCCTGATATCTTCTGGGACAGCCGACACGAGCTCGGCTTGGAGGGATACTACGAGCAAGCAGGCAGAGCTCTAGATGTTGGAATTCGCATCAAACTGCTTAACGAGAAGATGGACTATGCGCAAGAGATCGCAAGTGTACTCCGAGAGCGTCTTAGTGAGACACATGGCTTGCGGCTTGAATGGATTATTATTCTGCTCATTGCTGTTGAGGTTGGCTTTGAAGTATTACGTTTGTGGAAAGAAAGAGTACATGAACAGGAGGAGGCGCGCAAGCAAGAGACCTAGGGTCACCCGAGGCCAGATTGACAGGCGCAAACTCAGAGAGATTATTTTTGCCCACTGTGGACTAACTATGATACCCCTTCACTCTTGAATGACCATCTCGACTTTAAACGAGTGCAATATAAAACATGGCTGCTGTGGTGCAAGTAAACAAAGCCCAGGTGACCCTTATCAGCTGCCCCCGCGCTTAGTCATATGAGACTCCGCACGAGGCGACTTCGATGGTACGCCGATGACCGTTGTAGCCTCCTGAGTATACCTATTCCTCGTCTGAATACGACCGTCCTAGTACATATCTACTTGTCTATTCTTATATTCTTTTCTGTTTCGATTTGACCAGTGTCCTTCCTAAGATCACGGGAAAATGCTGTCATCGATGATGCGGGGATCATCACAACAGTTCATGGGCATCCCCGGACCACAGAAGATCCTCAAGACCTTCGGCTCACTCTGGCTTTCACAAGCATCAAACGAGAATGCGAAGCCCGGAACTTCATCCTCATGCCCTCTCTCCGAAATAAGTTGTCAGGCCAAGTACCACGGTCAAGACACCTGCTGTTTCAATTACCCCGGCGGTCAAATGCTACAGACGCAATTCTGGGATGTTGACCCTGCACTTGGCCCTGAAGACGCATGGACTATCCATGGACTATGGTGAGTTTAAACCATATCCATGTTGAATAATATAAATCTAACCCTTCAGGCCCGATCACTGCAACGGCGGCTTTGACCAATTCTGCGACTCCAGACGCAAGTACAGCAACATTTCTCTGATTCTAGTTGACGCGGGCCGGCGAGACTTGCTCGAATACATGAGCGAGTATTGGAAGGATTTCCGTGGTGATGATAGCAATCTGTGGCAACATGAGTGGAACAAGCACGGCACTTGCATCAGCACCCTGGAACCGGATTGCTACGAGGACTATCTGCCACAACAAGAGGTTGTTGACTACTTTGACAAGACTGTTGAGGTTTATAAGGACTTGCCTTCCCATGAGGTAAGTTTGGCTCTATCGACCAATGAGCGACTATATATTCGGATCAAACCACTAACCATATATAAGTTCCTGGCCAATGCTGGCATCGTACCATCTCAGACGCAGACCTATGCTCTTGCCGATATTGAAGCTGCATTGGAACAAGCCCATGGAGACCCTGTCACTGTCCGTTGCCGAGGCGGCGCCATCAATGAGATTTGGTATTATTTCAATATCGCAGGAAGTCTTCAATCGGGAGAATTCATCCCGGCAGGCCCAGGTCGGTCAACTTCAAAGTTACTCGCTCTGATAGATCGCAAGCTTACAAAATAACCAGATGGCCAGAAGTCCAATTGCCCCTCCAGGGGCATCAAGTACCCACTGAAGCATGCTCGGAATGAGCCTACTCAGACGACAACCATAGATTTCCCCGAGCCCACGGCGCCAGGCACTCCGTTTACAGGCCGAGGTAACTTGGTTGTGGAGAGAGTCAACAGAAAGCATGGCTGTATCATCAGCTACGGAACTTGGTTTTCGTCAGGGACCTGCGCGACTTTCCGAGCCGAAAAGCTATCAGGTTCGTAGCTGTGCTTTCCGCATACGGCCCCTCTGGTATTGTTTGCTAATACGAAGTAAATGGTAACCTGCAGATGATATATTCACTCTGAAATCTAGCAAGGGGCTCTGTGCCTTCGAGCGAGACGCCCTTACTTGCGGACCCCACGTCAACACGCCAAGCGAGTTCACCGTATGTATATCCCAGATACTTTTACAACATATCATTTCCATGTTCTCACACTGCATATAGGCCAAGGATGGTAAGCTGGCTTACGGTGATCACACTACTTTCTATGCCGACAATTTCCCCAAGGGGCGTACACAGAGTAACGTGTATGCTTCGCAAGGGGGGCGGTCTATTGAGATTGAGATCACCTGGGCTTCGAAGTAGACCAGCTATCTTCACTATTGTTTCTCTCCCTATGGTCCTAGTGGAAAGTAGATCGGCCGATCGGGATGTGGGTGAGAGTTGCACAGAAATCCCGGATAGAATGCGGCGAGGATACTGTCAGACATCGATTCCTTGACGCAGAATTATTAGATATGTGAAATAGAAACCCGCATTGTGTAGAGTAGTATCTCAATATATGTCATTGTCGAACAAGTGGGACTGATGTGAACTAATACCAAAAGCTTACTATACAGAGCAAGTGGTAAAATGAGTGTATTCTAAAAAGGAGCAAGTTGCTCAGCTTGGTAGCTTGCTACTTGCTGACTAAGTAGAGCTAAGGTGGGCCCTGTAGCTTAGAAAGTAAATACAGGAAATGACGGGACGGGGAAGTGTATTTCCGGCTGACAGTCATTTTCTCCGTGAACGAATATTTTGTACTTTTTATCCTGAGGATGCACATCGCCAGGATGGAGGAAGGTCTCCGACGGGCGATCTGTGCTGCGCCGCGTTTGCGCCACATTTGCGCCACGTACTGTGGGGGTTCCCACTTTTTCCTTTCCCCACCTTCAACTCCCCTAATCCACTCACACCTCTCGCACGATGAGTACTTCGATTCTTTCCCGCCTCCTTGACACCAAGGTCACCGTCGACTTATGGCCGCCACAAATTACTGGCCCTGCGTCTGAAACCTGGGAAATTACCGGAAATACCAACGAGGAAATGTGCACCATGCATGAAATCGAAAGGCACAAAGGCATGCCACCAGCATACGTACTTGGCACATTCCGCTGCTGATCTTCCGATGACAATGACGATGGGGAGAAGCTTGGCATCATGAAAATTTACAAGCAGATTCCATTCGTTGGTACCGTGCTTTACGAGTATGAGTATCGCAAGCACCAAGCCGTTGAGCCCTACGAACCAATAGAGCTGATCGCCCTAAAGGCCATGAAGAACCGAGGCTGCGTTCTTGCTCCGGAATTACCTAGGTACTAGGCTATCGTCTTACTAAGCAAGATATCATGGCGACCGTACCCGGAGGGTGCCTAATGTACATTGTGTGGAAGCAAGTCCCGGAAGAGTCCCTGACTAAGGAAGCCTCCTGGCAAGCACCCCTCGCGAAGCGTCTTTAAAGCACTCACTTAACATGTTTATGGCTAACAGGATATAGGCAGCTTGTTGAGTATGAACCAAGTCTCGGTAGTATTCGGAAGATAATCTATGACTGGATAACAGGAGAGATGTATCTCGCTATCTAACTCAACGTCCAACGAGCTAATAGCCTCTTGGCATATCTGTGGGTTCTGGCACGCCAAACTACTCGATGGTTATGCGAAATGGGATGACGACCTATTTGTGTGCAGTTTGACCTTGTCTCGGCAAGCCGGTCACGGGAACGGTACTTAAGATTGGTGCCATTGATACTTATCATGATGAAAAGGGCTGGAGATGGTAGAGAAATGTCCCATAAATTGCTGGGGCTACTTTAAGGCCAGTCTGGGCGTTGGTGGCCCGGGGCGTTCCATGGCTTATAGTTACCAGGCGTCTCGTTCGAAGCCATTTCTGGCCGGTTCTCGGGGAACATACTAAGTACGAATCTCGCCAAGACACTTGTAAGGCTGAATGAATGGATGCAGTAGTCTGGCCACTTGTTGAACATCCATATTCATTACCATGGTCTTATATAGCATGGATCGCATGTTTAATCAGATTTTGTACCGTCTGCGTAGAAGTAGAGAGATGTTTGGTTCTGAATTGTAACCATAGACACAGAAATCCGCTAGCTCCTTGCCGCTCTACTGCGTTACCTCGTTCCCAAGTAGACGCCCTACTTCTTCGGCAATACACATCACTCTCTCCTCAGTCAGTCGCCTTCCTATGATCTGCACTGCCACCGGTGCGCCATGATACTCTGCCGGGTCATCTGATTCGCGTTAGTCTTGTATTTTATAGAAGGCATGTTACTTACATTCAACCTGCACAGTCTTATCAATATCGGACAGCGGCTTAAAATTCTCGTTTTTGACATCGAGAGCCTTGTCAGCATACGTGACTGGCACCACGACGCTAGTAAAATCGAGAATGTTGATAGCACTGGCGTATCCGTAATACTTGAATTGATTATGCCGGATAGCCGCGGTAGGCGTAATGGGAGCAATGATGGCATCTAGCTCTTTGTCTAGCTTCTTTTCAAATTGACGGATTTTGGAAAGATATTCGCATTGGTAATCCCATTTCTGAAGCTGCACATCCCAAAGCTGGTTGAGATTCATCTTTGGCAGGCTTGGGCTTACTAGATCGGCGATATTCGGGATTGCTGGCTCTCCAGAAGCTTTGAGAACACCGAATATATCCTAAAGAGTATCAGTGGCTGCCTTTCCTAGGTATATTAAAAGATTTACAGTTCCCCCGTCAGACGCGTAGATGCGATTGGCTAGACTAACGCCATGTGCATGCCTGTAAGGTTCCCAAGGAAGAACCGTATGCCCAGCTTCACTGAGCTTATTGATAACAGTTTGAACTGCTCGCAGAACCGGTGGATGAGGCAGAACCTGTAAGAGAGAGTCAGTGGTCTTGCATAAGTTCGTTGACAAAGAGAAAAGTTTACGTTGCCGTCACATGAATAGTAGCCTAGAGTCAATCCGCTGGAGGATATCTTGGCCTTGATAGCCTCCTCTTCGTCTCGTCGCCATGGCATTGGAATGACCTTTGAGTCGTAGGACCAAGGTTCCTGAGAGAGAACAGATGTAACAAAGAGTCGCATGTCAGCTATGGAATGGCCAAGTGGTCCACATACGCTGTGGATGGTCTCTTGTCCTTCCATACTGTTGGCCATCTTAGCGTAGGGAAGACGGCCATGGCTAGGTCGAAGACCGTAAAGGAAGTTAAACGCTGCCGGAACTCGTATCGAGCCACCTGGGTTTTTTTTAGCGTTTTGTCCAAACATAAAAGAAGGCTCAAGCTGCATCTACTCACCAATGTCAGTTCCAACTCCTATCACACCACCACGCAATGCGACGATAGCCCCCTCTCCCCCAGAGCTCCCCCCACAAGACCAGTTCTTGTTTCGGGGATTCGTGGTACGGCCATGGATGTTATTGATGGTCTCGCATACCATCAGGCTTTGTGGTACAGAGGTCTTGACGTAGAGTACCGCACCAGCGTTGAGAAGCATGGTCGTAAGGACGGAATTATCTATATCCTTCTTTCCAATCCAAGAAACATAACCCATAGTAGTGTCAAGTCCCTGTACTCATCAGCTGTAGTCCGTTATAGGTGTATAGATTGACTTACCTTTACACGGAGCTGGTCTTTCAATGAAATGGGCAGTCCGTGCAATGGCCCGATGGGTTTCTTGTGCTCTGCAAGGTAACTATCCAGATACTGCGCTCTGGCTAACGCTATATCTGGAAAGAACTCATGAATGCAATTTGTCTGTAGCGGATCAACAATTCTTGTTTTTCGTAACTTCGTAGGGCTCTCGACTCACCAACTGATGCGCCAGCGCGGCTCTCTTGCAAAAGGCCCTGGTGACCGCAACCGAGGTAAGCTTTCCAGTAGCTATATTTTGAACCAACTCTGTAGCTGAGTATTCAGTGATAACCAGTTCTTCCAGTGTGAGGTGTCCACTCGTCCTTGGGAATGACATGACAGAGCCGGCACCTGGGTGAATTTTGATGCGCCATTCTGGATGAATTGAAGCCTCAAGGTCACTCCTCTTCTTCGCTGCGAGGGATTCCCAGTCCATATCAGATTTATAACCTGACGGATAGGTAGGCTGATGCTATTGCTATTGAAAGAAAGTGGAAGGAACGTATAAATAGATTGAAACTCTTATACGGGGTCTGTCTAGCAACTGACTAGGAGTGCCCTCCGAAAGCTGACCGCAACTAGCTAGGAATGGAAGTAGTCGTATAGATTAGCGTGGAGATAGGAAAACATTACGATACCGCGTGTAGATATAAGGCACCTGGGCAGGTAATTAAATCGTTTCCTATCACGGGCTTTCATTTTAAGGGTGCACTGCTCTTTTTGGCCTGTATAAAAGGCCTTTCTTTTGATAGATTGAATGCAGCAGCTTCTTCTTGATTTCCCCCACTAGTTGCTCAGTATCTCAGTTCTTGTAGCCTCAATAACTTAGTCTTAACTCTCTACGGAGTACAGAGATCGATCCCAAATGTTCCAGCCCGACTTTTCATTTGCTTTTCGAATGAAACGCTAATTTGTAACGGTGTACAGTACTCCGTACTTTTGCTACTACCCCTCTTTTACAACTCCTCTTCTATTGATATCCCCTTTTACTACTATCTACCACCTGCCATGGATCACGGTATTGCTAAGCGTTCTGCTGTGGTAACGGAAAAGCCATTAGCGTTTCTACCACTCGTTGGATTATTGAACACTGTTTGGTAATAATCACTGCTTCGGTTTATAGTTGTTATCATGTAGAGACCATGCATCACAACCTTTCACCTTGCATTTTCCATAGAACAAAGCTTACGAACACATGCCGCTCAAAATCTTAAGGACACCAGATCAGTGAATCTGATAAGAAGATGTTTGCTTGTGTTCCATCCAACTCTATTCATAGAAAACTGCTTTGATCCCTGCATCGCGCCTTTTCCTTTATCTTCTTTATTCCCTTTGTCTCTTTATGCTTTATCTATACTCTACGCAGAACCAGATCATATGTCCGCCGAAGCACTATTCCTCCTTCTCCCACCCCGTCTAGCATAAGCCAACTCCCTCTCTTGGAGCCACTCACACTCGTCACAGAATTCAAAAGTCCGACACTTCCACGCATCCAGAATCTCCACATCGCGGGGTTCCCGCTCACCATGCCACCAGGTGATCTGGTCGGACAGGTGGGAGGTCGTGTTTGTAGGATCGTAGAGGAAGGATCGACTTCCCAGATGACGGGATTTGGATTCTTCCTCGACGGCGGAGGAGAGGTATCGGGCTGTTAGGACGGGGGAGAGGAGGGTCTGATATTCTTCTAGGAGGTCTGGTTGGGTGCTCGATGGATGGGGCGATGGGTGTAGGTGTTGTTTCTGGGAGGAATGTGAGGCGGAGCTGGTCGTTCATGAAGGCCGAAAGGCGGGAGAGGGTATTGTGTGTCATGAGGATACTGGTTGAGTCTTGGCTGGCTGGTTGGCTTGAGGCTGGGTTCTTTGCATTTGGCGTTCGACTTGTTTCTCGTTCTTAGGTCTCGTTCTTAGGAAGAGAGGGCGTCAAATAATTCGTGGTTCAGTCCGCCAACTTCTGAGACGAATGCATTCGCGAATAAACTCTCTGGTTTGAAATTATAGCGGGCGGCGAGGATGTCGATCGTCACACCGTCGCTTGTAATGAGGCGATTGAGCATATGATAGTAGAGCTGCAACTGGAGAAGAGTAGGTCGGAACCCGGTACTCTTAACAGTCGGTATAGACCGACTAGCCTTGGTCTTGACATCCGTCAAGTAAACCCGAGGCAGACTAAAAGCCTCCGTCGGCTATTCCTGCTCTATCTCGTCAGGACTAGGAACCTCTTCATCACCACCCTGCCCCACTCAGAAAGACTCCTCCCACCCTGCGCAGAAGAAAGCAAAAACTCAGACAAAGGCATCTTATACTCAGGCAAAGCAGCTCTGGAAGCAGCAAGTGGTACATAACCCAGCAGCAGTCCCCTCAAGCCCAGAATTCGGACCCTCATAAGACAACTGATCAAAACCCCATTAACAATCTCCCCGTCAACAAGCCCCCAGACCTCCATCTCACGCGTAACCCCACACTCACGTAGCATACGCAGTCCCTGGATGAAATTACAAATCCGAAGACCCACGCATCCTCCTTCATCGTAATCTCCACAGGAACAGTCGTATATGTCTCATCCTCAAGAGTCTTATGCACAGTACTACCCCGGAGCATGGCAGGCGTGGGTTTCTTCTGCCCATGCTTGGTAAGTATATACCAATACTGCAGCTCACACCAAGTAGGCGAAACAAGATCCGTAACGGAGAACGCCTTATTAGGTGGTCTGCGGAACCGTTCGACAGGTGAGCGTGTATCGAGTGTTTCCGCGGCTGGGTCTTGCTTGATCCATTCTTGTTCGCGCTCTATCGTTCTGCCTTCTGTTGAATTGGTATTTGCTCGACTAATCGCTTCGGTAGATGGTGTTAGCTCAATTCGGTCACCTCAAGCGCAGAAATATGTTGAAGAGGAGAGGGAGTTGCAAGGTCCGGATCGGGGATACCCGATCTGCTGGGTGATCGTTCCGGGGCGGTCGGGGTGGAGGGCGAAGTCAAGGTCGGGATTGCAGTCGGGATTAGGGTTGGAGTGGCGGGCTGGACGGTGTCGCGTTTTGCGGCGGCTTTGAGGAGGTCGTCTAGTAATTCCTCTTCGTCTGTGTCGAAGTCGGAACCGTAGTTGGTTTCTTGGTCAGTTTACATGCCGGGAGGTCATGATGGGGAAGTTGGAGAAGCGTCATTTGTCATGATGAATTCTGGGGCTGTTACCACCTCTACTATAGCTATCTGCAAGAGGTGATCCAAGTGATATTTTTGGTCAAATAGCTGCACATATAGCTAACTAACTTATAATGAAGATGATACTTCAACCCGAGAAAATAGCCAAAATCCATTGATCTAACATAGTATTAAATGCAACGCTAACCAACACGCAAATCTATAAATTTAACCTCTATACAAACCTCTATACAAACCACATCTCCAGGTCTATTCTATGCCAAAATTCAAGCAGCAGCAACCAAACCAACTCTCTCTAACCCAGCCAACCCCTGAACCCTCTCCTCCTCCGCAATCTCAGCCAACAAAACCTCCTTCGCAGCCTTCTGATTCAACCAAAACAAATAAGTCTGCCACCCAACAGCAATAACACCAGAAAACACATTCCCGAACTGCGCAGGCACATACATAAAGCTGAACGCCGTAACCACCGGCCAGAGCTTGACACTGTTCGTAATAGAAACAGGCAAAGCCTTCTTCAGGCGCTCATATGTTTCTTCTATTGTTGCGCCGCCGAGGAGAGAGTGCACACTGAAGAAGTATGTCTTGAAGACGGGCGTGAAGTACATTTGTCGAACGACTACCTTTGTTAGGATTGAGAGGATTTTGCTGGGGCAATTGAAGTGGTTTCCGAGGAATATGAACCTGTTTATATCATGTTAGTCTCGAACACATGTTCTTGGTCTTGTCTTGGGTGTATATCGAGAAAGCATACCAGTTATAAGAAGGAATACTAGACCCAGCCCAACAACCAAATGCCGCATCGTTCTATACGGACCATATCCAGCATACCGAGGCTTCTCATCCTCCCCATCTCCACCTGCAGCTTGTGCCTGTGTCTGGCCAGTGTATTGCTGTTGGAGGAGAAGCATGGGGATCTGAGTGTAAAGCTGAGTGAGACTGTGTAGTATTCGATCCCGTATTTGTATTCTCATTTGCATTTTTATATATATATGTGTTGTTCTTCGACGCAGAATCAGCCTTATAGCCTTGAGAGCGAGTTCGGCGCAAATGGAATCCGGGGGTTATCGGTCGAGGTCGGAGGAATGTTGATCTTGGACCAAGGGATTTAGGGAGCGGTGTCATTTTTGGGGCGTTGGTTTGTACATCTATTTGCGAAAGAGGGTATATGTATGAGAAAAGGAAAATCAAAGAATGAAAGGAGTGGGAAGAGTTCGGGGAGAAGTTCGAGATCTGATTTTGTGGCTGAATGTCGAGTGAATACAGTGTCGGGTGAGGATTCCCATTGGTGCTTATGTTGTTATGTTAGGGCTATTTTTGTTGATATTATGGCTTCTTTATATGCCCACGGGTATTAGGGGCTCTATTAATAAGGCTGTTGTTATATAACCTTGGAAAGCCTTCTAAATTAGTTTGAAATAGTAGTACAGGCTATCTGCAATTATGTCTGTCATCGAAGGAAAATAACCCTTCAAGTAGCCATCCTTTGTTGATAGGGTAGGTACAGAAAAGATCCATTGAAAATAAAGACATCAAATACATATCGCATCATGGGGGAACATATAAAAAGAAGGATAAACACCGGGAATGAACACGCCGCCATGTATCCAACATCTTCAAAGAGATGGGATAAGGCCAAAAGGACGTGAACAATAGAACAACAATTCGAAAAGACAAAAGAAAAGAAAAGAAAAAACAAGAAGAGAGAAATACAGGGGGAAATAGGGCAATAAGGAAAAGCAAATAGCCCGAAACACCCGCATGTCTGCGAAGTCGTTTCAAGTCCCGAAATATGCAGAGAAAGAAAACGCCCGATTTTGTCGTGGGTCATTAAAGTGTACAAGGTCGTCCCGTATCGTTGCAAAGAAGTCTCGCTGTGAAGAAAATGACAGGGCGCGCCGTATGTGTCGCCGTGATTTTTTAGTAACAAAAGCTGTTCAAGGGTCCACCAGGAACTCGCTGGACAAGCAGTCGATTGGGTCCGTCAGGTCATCGTCCAGGTGGGGAAGACTAGAAAAGGTCTTCTCAGGGTAATAGGACGAGACAGGGCCGAAGTCGGTTGTATCAAACTGATAAGGTGGGAAACCAGGGAGGCCCGAGTGAGCGAGATGACCGAACTCCTCTCGCAAGTCCTCGGAAGGGTCTTGCGTCATGAAGATATCGATCTCCGAGCCGACGGATGATTCGGCCAGAGTGGGAGCCGAGCGAGGGGAAGACATCTCCCGAGGCGAGAGAGCAGAGTCACTGTAGAGAGATTCCTGCGAGTACGTGGATTCCTGCGAGTAGGTCTGGGAACCGAAATTTGATCCGTACTGAGCCATTGCCTGCTCGTATCTAGCGTGAGCGAGTTGGGGTGGTGACAAGGGGAGCATGTCATCCTCGAGCTGGGCATCCAGGGAGTTATAGGTCTGGCATGGCGAGGAAATTGTGTGGTATCTGTTTCCCGGGGAGGCGGGCGGCGTGTACGACGAGACGGCAGCGGACGGGGCATAGTTGGGCGAGTTGAACACGGGAGCATCTTGCAGAGTGGGTTGGGCTTGGACTGAAGAGATTGAGGCGGACTTTTCAGCGACACGTTGACGAGTACGGGTGGACTTGACCTGCCGAGTGTCGATATCTGGGCGGCTGTTCTTCTTCTTCGGGGGGCGGCCACGCTTAGTGGTCTTTGGGACCACACCAGTGAAGCCTCCAACACACATATCGCGCTGGCGGTGACGAGTCAGGGCATCCTGTCTAGCAAAACTGGCACCACAGGCACAAGCGAAGGGCTTATTGCCACTGTGTGTCTTCAGATGACGCTTGAGATCATGCCCGCGCACGAAGTGCTTTTCGCAAATGTCGCATTTGAATTGACGGTCGCCGAGATGTGTTTGGACGTGGGACTTGATGTTTTCCTTGCGACCAAAGCGGCAAAGGCAGCCTGAAAATAGACAGACCCACTTTCCATCTTTAGGATCGGGGCCGGAGATGAACTTAGCAATTTCGTCGGTCGAAATGCCGGTTTGCTGGACTGAGGCCTTGACTCGAGCATCAAGGTCGTCGTGAGCAGGTAGCTCGATGGGAGATGACACAGAAGATGGGGCTCGCTTTTTGGTTCTGCCAGTGGAAGACTTGATTGAGACATTGGACTTTTGAGGTGTCATTCCATATGAACTCGGGGATGGCATATCGGCCACTTCGGTGAATGACGCGCTAATCGGAGAATTGACGGGGGAGGGCATTTGCTGCTTAATCTGCACAGAGTTGACATAGGGGACTCCTTGCAAAGACTGGGCTCTCTGCATCTCAGCGGTGACAGGAGTATGGGGAAATGAGAAACTTTGGGTCTTGGAAGGTGTTGGGTCATTGCTGTACATGGAATAATCAATAGATCTTTTCAATGGGGTAGAGTCGGGGGTCAAGGGGGATGTGTCTGCTATATAATTAACTTCGGTCCGGCTAGATTGAAGATAAAGATGCATACAAGCAGTAGACATTTGCGAAAGGATTTTCGCAGAAGGAGCCTTTGGTTGAACAGAGACTGGGTGCATTGGTCCGGCATAGGCCGTCACCTGCTCGTTTTGGAGCATTGGCATGTTGCGCTGAGGAAACAATTCCCAATCGGCATTGCCAATAAATTCTTGCTGTTGCTGGTTCGAGAACTGTTCTTGTTGCATACGGTGCAGCGCAAGCTTCAATGGTGTGTTTTCGGAGCTTTCACTGGCTGATCGAGACAAAGCCGGGGCACCAACAGATGAGGGCGCAGGGCTGCCAGTGGTGGTGTGGATCGCTTGCAATTGTTCTTGGTTGAAAGCCTGGCAGTCAGACCCGAGCGACTGGTGAGGTTGATATTGATACGGCTGCTGCATGTGCATGTCTGATGGAATGAAAGACCGCTCGGGCTGCTGGGCATAAGTTTGATACTGCTGTACATCCCTCTGTTGACATGGGAAACCTGATTTTTCGTTAAAATAATCTCGCAACTGCGAGACCGTCTTCGGCACGTGTCGGTTCATAGTGGGCTTTTGACTGAAAGAGCTGTAATCCACAGTCTGCCCTCGACGATGAGACCGACGGGGTTGCATATTGGTCATGACTGGCGCGGGCTGGAATGGAGCAACTGGTGTGGAGATTTGACGGCGATGGCGACCAGTTCCCAGCGCGTTGGAGTTCATGATTGTATCGCCGATTGACGGTTGGGGTCCTGATTGAGGTGTCAGTACTTGAATATGAAAGCAATGGGCACTAGGAAGAGGGAAAGTGGGAAGTTGTTAGAGCCTCAAGTCAAGTATTCAAGAGTATCAATCTTCAAGCTTCAAGGTCACACAGCTCAAATAGATTCTGAACTGAACCTGAAAGAGCAGAAACGCAAATGTATGAAGGTTTTCCAAGGTTTAGTTCTGGAACCCCGATCTATGTAAGACCCGTTCTCATCAACAAATTGGGGTGTTGGCATAGCAACGGGATTAGCCCGGGCGTCTGGGAAACCAATGGGCCAAGGCTCTGACGAAAAGTGGGCCTCCCCTTGCCACCTTCGAGTTTTTGCCCTTTGGTGAAAAGGACCTTGCTTATAATTATTCGACTTCTTCTGCAAGGGCAAGCTAATCCCTGTGATAAAATGCATAATGTTAATCTAGTCCTATAAAATTGATAACTCCTCGGTTCGTTTCCGAGGAGATTCAATGTAAACAAGATCTCACACTATATAGAACCTTGGCTCCATTTATAGTACCCATAGGCCCGATAGGCCGATATGGTGCCCATGGCGTCACATCAATATCTGATTCGACCTATCTAACACGGGATATGTATCTATGGCCTCAGGCATCAATCCATGCGCATCCCTTAAGTCACGTGTGAGGACCTCTGGCAAGACGGGTCGACCTTTATCCGCTTGCCCTTCTCTTCCCGTCATGTGATCTGGTCGGTCAGCATTTCCTTTTAAGCTAGACTACTTTCGGCATATGACCCACCCACGTGACCGCACAACGATTTTAATCACCAACCGGCTTTCGCGCACAACGATCTTCTTTAATCTTGCAAGGTTGAGGAAGACACAGCTGTCGAGGTGAGTTTTGGGCCTATACCAATGAGATGAGCATGCGCAACTAGCATTCAGTCCATTCTCTCTCTGTCTGCCACATTTTCATTGCGAGCATCCTACTGACTTTTTTTTTCTAGGCCTTCCATCAAGATGCAGATCTTCGTCAAGACCCTGACGGGTAAGACTATCACCCTTGAGGTGGAGTCCTCCGACACCATTGACAATGTCAAGTCCAAGATTCAGGGTAAGCACAACCGAAATCCGCAAGCAACGATCGCACACGAGATGCTCGGGGAAAAAGAAGCAACATAGGCTAACCCCGCACCAGACAAGGAGGGTATTCCCCCTGACCAACAACGCCTGATCTTCGCTGGTAAGCAGCTCGAGGATGGCCGCACTCTTTCGGATTACAACATCCAGAAGGAGTCGACCCTTCACCTCGTGCTCCGCCTGCGTGGTGGTGGTAAGAAGCGCAAGAAGAAGGTCTACACCACCCCCAAGAAGATCAAGCACAAGCACAAGAAGACCAAGCTCGCCATCCTCAAGTACTACAAGGTTGACGGTGACGGCAAGATCGAGCGTCTTCGCCGCGAGTGCCCCGCTCCCGAGGTATGTGATCACGTTTGTCTTGCGACAATACCCTTTAATTCAATCATCAATGGAAGCTAATATATCCTTTCTTACAGTGTGGTGCCGGTGTCTTCATGGCCGCTATGCACAACCGCCAGTACTGCGGTAAGTGCCACCTCACCTACGTCTTCGACGAGGCCAAATAAATGGTCTAAGTTGGGCCGTGCTGTGCTGTCACCGAGCTCGGGCGTGGTTTTCGCTAGCTTTGGGCAGGTGATGGAGTATCACGGTTGACGTTGGTTGATGATGGTTCCTTGGAATACCCATGTGCTACAGTCAATAAAATAACAAAAACTAGGCATCCGCCGAAAACTCAAAATTTCCACGTAATTATAAGACTCGTATGTATTCGTAGACTTCGATATTGTCACACTCTGCCTGGTCAGACACTGTACTGAGAATAACAATGCAATAAGCCGTGCAAGCTCTCACTCAACCTAGTTACTCTTCCGGGAAGCCAGCTTTGACATTGTCATACTTGCTCTCGGGATACTCGAGAGCATTAGCCGACTGATCCAAAGCGCCTTCACCACCGACACCATCGACAAAGATACCGATCAAGCTTCCCTCCGCCGGATCAGCCTCCTTACCACCCTTATCACCACTACTCTCCCACCACATACCGCCGCCCAGTCCGCGCTCGCGAATATAGTTCGCCTTGACCTGCGCCATATGGGCTGTGTCGTAAGAAACCATCGTGCGCGCACCGCCATCATAGCAATACGAGGCACTGGATTCCTCATCGAACTGTTCCTCGGCCCCGGGTCTGGGCAGCGCCTTGTAATCCCACACCCCATTCTCCCAACTGCCCTCTCCAACCCCGGAGAAGGGAGTGCCTGGTCCATCGGTGTCCTCAAATGCACGCCCGTACAGTGGCATGCCCATGACGATCTTTGAGGGTGGTACACCGCCGACGTTGATGTAGTGGTCCAGAGCAGCGTTGATCGAGAATGGTGTGCTTGCAGGGTTGGAATTTGAAGGGGCGATATTAGCTTGGTGGCCAGCGTTGGTGTCCCAACTTCCGGCGAAGTCATACGCCATGAGGTTGTAGAAGTCTAGCAATGGGGTCATCTCTTGGAATTTAAGCTTCTCGTAGTTGCTCGGGCCTGTAGCGGTCAGTTTGGTGGTTCACGGCACTTCTCCATCGCCGGGGATATGGTATATACATACCGGCAGGGCAGGCGATTGTCAAGTAGAAACGGCGATCGGGACCAGCCTCCCTGTCAAGAACCTGTCTCCGGTCAGTTGGTCCAATGCAAGATTCAGGAGAACGACATACCTCTCGGCACTTCTGGAGCAAGAGAACCAGGTTCTCGGCCTCGGTGTCATCTGGACATAACATGAGCCTCGTACTTCCTTTGAGTATGTTCTGACAATCTCACCTTTGGGATATTCCCAGTCGATATCAAGCCCTATGAAAGAGCCAAGATCAGCATTGTACAGCGTACCTAGGCGATGAAACATACCGTCGAATCCCAGATCCAGAACAAGACGTGTGGCCGATTCAGCAAACGTAGCCCGACCCTCCTCGGAGCTCGCAGGCTGCGCGAAATTCGCCGAGTACGTCCAGCCACCGATAGAAAGCAAAACCTTCATCTTGCGGTTCTGCTTCTTGAGCAGGAAAAGCTGCTTAGCACATCCGTACACATTGTCACCGACGTCATTCCACGAGTCCGTCGGGTAATGCTTCTCGACGTCCGACCAAGAGTCGGTCAAGTACCTGCGATTCTGGGTCAGGAAATCTTCTGTTGTCTGTAAGGATCAATGGCATGACTTACACTTCACCGTTTTCGGGACGAACGTTCGCAAATGCATAGAGGATGTGTGTCAGCTTCTGCGCAGGCAGATCCTGCGGGTTGTAGTTGCGGCCGTAAATTGCCTATGGTATATGTCAATTGGTGCTTTTCTTTTTCGGTATATATGTCCAGCCAGTTAGGCATTGTAAAATGGACGCGGTTCATGCAGTCGGGGTTGAAATGGCAAAAAAATTAAGTGCATACCCAATTGACAAAATAGGCGACGGATTTCATTTCAGACATGATTGGTGTATGGGGGTAGTACGAGGATAATTGAAGTATCGGGGAACAGCCACAAGTAGGGCAGTAAACAAAGCAATGGGCTTAAGCCGATAAGCCACAATTTCAAGTCGGAAGAGAGTCAATGTTAGAGACAGCAAAAAGACACTCGAAGGCAAGCTTGCAAGTATTTCTATACGTTATGTCGCAGCCTAATTGTTAGTGGACTGTCGTACCTTAGTCTAGGCAATATCAACGCCACAACGTCATTGGGCAGGACTCACATGTGGCGGTGTATATATTTAAGGCACCAAGGCAACAAACGTGGCTGAATATAGAAAAAGATAGGATAGAAGGTTCGGAGATCGGCTAATATCTGTGCAATCAAAAAATATAATCTGTATAATCTGAAGACGAGTTATTTGGACTATATGTATGATCACTAAATGTCCAGAAGGGTCCAAGAAAACGTGGTGCGTGATGCGTGACACCTCCACCTGTTCAAGGTGCATGTAACCTCATTCTTGGCCAATCCCTAATATGTTTCATGTAATGTGTTAGCTTATTGGGTTTGAATTTAGACTTCTATTGAATCTGGTGGAACAAGATAGGAAGTATAGGTACTCGTGATGTTGAAGAATGCAACTCTACATAGGCAAGAATGCGACATCGAAGGAAGGAAGCAATACTATGTGGAATCATGACTGCACATGTAGTCATGAGAGCTCGTTTTCTACCCTATTACTTGTCAAATTGAATATTTGGAAGTTCGAAGATCTCATGATTAGAAGCATCTCGCGCAATGCAGATCTAAACCGCCTTCATAACCTCTGAGCACGTTCTCTTCCTTAATTGTAGCTTAACATTAGCTCCCGAATGCAATACGTCGATATATAAAACGTTGGTCAGACGACTTACGCCCTCAAATATGCCCACATGGGGAATCAAGCAATGATCGGACTCTTTCGGCAGTAGATCGACCATTGAACCCGTGGCAAGTGAGAGAGGGGCAATCCCGGTAGTTATATAGCGAGTGATGTACACAGATCGATCGGAACTACACGTGGACTCAGAGTTTAACACCCTTCTTCCTGATCATGAGATTATCCTCGAACGTATACATCAAGCTATTAACATGGAACCCTATATTTATTCCTCTTTTGTGATTCCCATGTGATGAATGCGGGGATCACAATATAAAATCTAGAAATTGATACATGAGATGTGTAGTTCTATATTGTGAAATGTGAGGTTATTGTTTATCCACAGATACAACATTGGACATAACAATCGGAGGTCGCCGGAGAAGTTGATGTGCGATCGACAACCCGTCTTTATCCAGCATGTCCCACCTTGTACTCATAATTCAATGCCGATCGTCAGAATGAAACAGACACGGGTCTATTGGGGAGGGCCGTAATGGCTGGGAAGACAGCTAGAAGGACATTTAGAAAGAGAAATGTATAGGAGGGTGATCCGACCAGCATTTCAACGGGAGAAAAATAAATGGGAATAACAACCCCACTACAACATAGAACAGAAAAGAACAGAAAAAATAAAGAAAAAAAAGAAAAAAAAGAAAAAAAAACGTCGCCTGAAAATCCAGTCCATCGATAGCTGAACTCCAGCCGCGATCTGGCTGTTCGTAGTGCTGATTGGATCTACACAGCCGAACTAACGCCCTTAGCCTGGCAAGCCGTGTCCGAAATCTCCATGGCAAGTTGATCCCGATCCACTTTGATCTGTGCCACGTTTTTTTTCTTTTCGATCCTTCACTCCAGTTAGATATTGTACGGTGGATCTTATCTTTCAGCTGGCATCTCTGCCTCGGCGCCCCAGGTGTCGGGTTTAGGTGGAATTCAATTGCCGACAGGTTTAAGGCCAAGGCCTCTACTACATGTCTTTTCTATCTTTGTATGTTGTAGTCCCTTGGAGCAAATTTTGCGTTTTGTAGAGACACATACTTTTGGTGTCAGACCATTGTGGGGCTATTAGGACTATCATACCTTTATGCAAGTGTGTACATACTACTCTGTATATTGTCCAGTGGACGAGACATAATTAGATCTAGTCTTATTGAACTGTGTAAATGCAATTGATTTTCAAAATGTTTTGTAACACCTCAAACAGAAATGCAACCCAAAAAAAGCAAGAGGGATATCGTAGCTATAACCAAAACCACGCAATGAATCCAAACTCTTTTTGTCTCGCAGAAGGCAGTACACACGACCAGCGCTATACCCGCCATCCCATGCAAGCCCCTCTAGCCCCTCTATTAAAAGAATCATACAAAGCCCAACAAGGCTCACAAGCACTTGGGAATCAGTAGAAGGCAAAATCCGAAAGAGAAAACCCCCAACCTTAACCCCACACGACATGCATTCGTTTCCGTTTCCATTTCCATGTCGATTTTCATATTTCATATCCATATCACCGGCACAATTACCGACTCCCAATCCAGCGACGGATCGCCTCCAAGGAAGGGTCATCGTCAACCCAGTGACCAGCGCGCAGATCAGCAGCTCGCAAATCCGCCACCACATGCTGGTCTGTGAAGCGAGCCAGATCCTGATGGAGTGTGGCGGTTGCACTCTTCAAGGCTGCAGAGTGCTGGGCTGCTGGAGGGGAGCCGCGTAGGATGCCAGCGCGCGTCATGGCCCATCGCCGGGCTGCGGCGGCGCGCAGGTAGATCTTGTGCGCTTGGAATCGGCGTGCGCTGCCGTCCAGGATGACTCTGGAGAGAGGCTGTTAGCGTCTTGATATTGATTGGGTGGTTCGGGTATTGTGTGTACCTTTGTAGCTCGGCTTTCTCGGTCTCGACGTTCCCTTGCCCTGTTACCGGGCTGGGTTGGTAGTTGGCGGACATTAGGGTCTGTGCTGAGGCTTGGGACTCGCGCAGTACGACGAAGCCATCTTCCCAGTATTCTTCTTGGGATGCTTGGACTTGCTGTTGCGAGATGTGGAGCAGAAGAGTGCGGTAGTCGTTGATTATCTCGGCGACTCGCATAGCGCGGGCTTGGTTGACTGCACAGTTATTAGCAGTTTGTCGGGTGATTGCTTGACATGATTGGGGCCAGCTTACATCCGTCTGCCATGTTTCTGGTAGATTAAGTATATAAAAAGGATGCTAATGGATCAGAGGATGGACGAGTAGGAAGATGGCAAAAGGCAAGTATAAAGGATGGACATCAAAGATAACCAATGAGCGATGAAAGAAAGGCAATGGTCATAGGAACTAATGGTCCATGGAGTCGAGAATGTTAGGCCACCAGCGATTGGGGGGAAAGAGGAGAGATATAAGTCTTCAAAGTTTGGAAATGGTGTCTCTCCTTACCCCATACATGACAGCCAACGACCCTCAATGGGTGGACCAGAAAAGAAAAAGCCAGAATACTACAAAATAATAATAGGATTTATCAGCCCGCGACAGCGGAGCCGACGTCAGGATACATCATTACCGGGAGGACGAGCTGCACCAATAGACGGGCAAGATCCCACGATCAGGGAGCTCGGGTTGTCGACTACAGCTGGGATGGGACCGGGCCACGCCATAAGCTCCCGAGAAACCGTTTACGGCATGACTAGGACCATCCCTGTCCCAAGGAGATGGATCCGACAGTGGAGAGGGAAAGAGAGACGGAAAAGGGCCCATATGTCGCATGGGAAAAGACCTGGCGTATTGCATTAACACTCTTCCGAGCTGTGGATTGGAAGTGGGGAGAGCATTGGCCCGCACATGAGATTAGGTTCCTGTGCGGCCGATTTGGGGTCTCTCGTGAGAAGAGAGATGGTGTTTCACGATGCTGATTGGAGAGTATTGAGTGAACTACTCAGTGGGGAATCATATTTTTTTTCTCTTGCTTTTTTCTTGCGATGCATCATGATGCATGACTCGTGGGACCCCTGTTGAAATGCAGAAACACACAGTAAGGGCAAAGAGAAAGGCGAGACTCAGCCTTGGACCTGCATTAGACCAGATGTACTGCTCGGACCTGAACTCGGACCTGGCGTGTAGTGGATCTGACAGCTAGGGCGTGAACATGTTCAGCTGGGTATTTGCCACACTTATTCTTAGCTTGAGACTTACTCTTTAGCCAATTCAGTATCCCCTAGCCGCTTTAGTTCAGTTGACAAGCCAATCATATGCGAAGAAAGACCATTGGACGCATAATTTATGGGCTGTCAGGACCCAGCCACCGCGAAGCCACATGTGGCGCCCCGCACAACAACTCTTAGTAGTAGCATGCCCGTCCACTGTCTCCTTGCTTTTATGCAGGTAGACGCTGTGATAAACCGCTAATAGCGAATTGTCCATCCTCGAATTTCCCACAGGTGGCGGATTCTCCAGTCGAAGTTTTGACAGGCTGGATATGGTCTCGGACTACCCGACAGGGTTACGCTATGGTATCCATAGGTAGTATCGATAAGAAATCGATATATGCTCTACTCCGTAGTATCCATAGTATCAGCGCTAATGAATGGATCGATACTCTAGTAGTATGGCGTCAAGGTGCAGGATGAGACCCGAACATGGCCGAAAGTATACTCGTGCAGGAAACAATTGAGTTATCATTCACAGATCGTCTGTTTCTCTAAAATAAACACCAGAGTCCTTCCATTACTGGTCGCTTACCTCCGTAGCTTGCAGGTCCAGCTCGCTCAGTCCTTCTCGGCTATAGCCTGCAACCGTTCATCAATCTCCTCTTCCGTCAGGGCACGGAACCCTGTAGTGGTTCCCTCCTCGCCGGGGGCCCGCGGCCCACCGACGACACCAATCTCAATCTCGTGCTTCTTGAAGTCAACACTTAGCACATTGCTGAGGGCTGTGATACCCAGCTCCACAACCTCCTCCCAGCTGCCCGTGGCCGCATCCTTGTTCTTCAGCTTCTTCTCCAGGTAGTTCAACGCCTCCTGCTGCTTGGGACCGGATGCTGTCGCCTTGTACCCAACGTAGTAACCGGCCGGGTCACACTTGTAGAGCTGCGGACCGTGCTCGTCATCGACAGAGATCAGGGTCGTAGCCACACCAAGTGGTCGCATGTAAGCCTGGAGAGTTTCAAAGAGAGCCATGTCAGCTATTTTGTCTCTCTAGATGGGATGATTGCACGGTGACGGAAACCCCTACCCTTTGTGTGTAGACCTGGTTGATATTTGCCAGACGCTTTGCCAGGACATCGCACGGCATCTCATATCCGAACTTGTACCGGAACTCAGCAGCCTCACCACGGGCCCGGTCAACAGATGCACGAGCATCTGCTATGGAGCCAGTCATCACGCAGCCTACGGAAGGCGAGATCTTGAAAACATGTGAAACGGAGGAGGGGTCGATCAATTTATCCTGGTACACAGCGGATTAGCGTGAGCGCAATCCCCAGCTATAAACGAGGAATCCATCTTACAGCGACTTTCTTCTGCGAGATCACCACGGCACAGTCCTTGCCTCTCACACCGATGGAGGTGATGTTGGCCGAAGTGATGGCCTTGAATGCATATTCTGGGAGGTGCTTGGTTAGCAATCATGATGACAGCGCACGGACTGAGGCCGCTGGACAGATCGAGGCGGAATCATCGGCGGATGGATAATACATACCGACTTGGTACAATCGACCCTGGTCAGAGAAGATAGTGATATGTCTGTCGTAGGCGCTTCCTGCGGAGAGAACGAAGGTCAGTCGGGGATGAAGTCATTAGGCCGGGCTGGGCCATCGTCGACGAGGGAGCATACCAGACATGACGGCAGATCTTCAAGTATTTTATAGCTAGATTAACAGAAGCAAAGGAAAGGAATGAGGAAGGAGAGTCCGAGAGGATGCGATGATGGGGGTTGATCAGTGACGCGTGCCAGAGCTGCCTGAGCTCAAGCTTCATGTCAGCTTCACCGCCTTCCAGGTTCTATAAACAGTTCACCAGCATTCGGTCATCGAATCTTTTATTATTATTAATGAGTCTGAGCTATTGTACAGGATAACGAGGGCTTGTAGGTGGATGATCAAAAGACTGGACTCAGACTTATTTTTGTTATTTACTTTGTTCGCCCTGGATACGTGGAATATCATCTTCGAAGAGCAAACGAACCATATAGGAATCTACCCACGCATACTTCAATGCACATGAATTATGGACGACATGAGGATAGAATGACTTTTGACATGAACATAATTACACCGTCCCAAATGCTGTGGTAGAGATATATACACATCCAAACCCTAGGTAGCAATCCAAACGCCAATTCGTCAAAACTAGTCGCTGTCGCTTTCGCTGCTCGAGATTTCGATCTGAGCAGTCCTGAGCTTTCGCTTCTGCGTCTTTTTCGGCACAGATGGCTTAAGCTTTTCTTCACGAACTGGTACAAACTTCTCCTTTCTCTTGGCAGCTTTGTTCTCTTTCTTTGGCATTGCAACACCACCGGCGGCGGACGATGGAGTGGTCGCCGCAGTTTGTTTGGCCGCGGCCAGGGCAACAGATGACTTGTCATCACTGTCACTGTCACTGTCACTGTTGCTGCTGCTGCTGCTGCTGCTGCTGCTGCTGCTGCCGCCGCTCGACGAGGTCTCGTCATCGCTATCCGGCGCAGGCTTGCTGGTAGCCTTCTTCGGAGCTGGGGCATCATCATCGCTATCCTCGCTGCTGCTGCTGCTGATATCAACAACCATAGTTCTGTTCTTCCGCTTCTTGTTTACAGGCGGCTCAGGAGCCTTGGGTTTCGGTTTCGGCTTCTTCAAATCCTCGGCGCTGAAAAGCTTGCCGGCAACAGCGAAAAAGACCAGCTCTGCTCGCTGCCTCTTCGGCAAACGCTTCAAAACGTCTCCCTCCAGCTTTTCCCCGAAGTTGACGTTATCCAGATCCTCATCTCCCTTCGGCAAGCACTCGCGGAACGCATTGATAGCTTCCAGGTACTCGGGGCTTGTGGATGGCTCCTGATTCTCCGCTTCTTCATCGCCCTTCGGCTTGTCAAGATCCATATCGGCCTTAATCACGTCCCTCGCAGCATTGCTCATTCGCTGCTTGGCGGCATCACCTTTCAGGCCCTGCATGTACGCCAGCAGCGATGTGTTGTACTTAGAGGGGACATGCTCAAGTGAATACAGGTGCTTGAACAGGTTGGTTTCCTTGTTCTTTTGGAACTTCCATGTCGCGCGTGCTCGGTGGTAGTGGCTCAGGTATGAGAGAATAGGTGTCTCGTGGATTGGGGCCTCAACCGAGGCGGTGCCGTTCTTCCTTTGCTTCTTCTTCTCCCGCTTGCGCTTCTTCATCTCTTCGACAGCCTTGTCTGTGGCCTCTTCGGTGTCTGCGTCGGCTCCGTCGGTTGCGGCAGCGTCGTTGCTGTTGGCGTCGTCCGACTCACTTCCGGAATCGCCGTCGAATTCCTTCGTTCCAGGTCCAAACGAGACCCGCTTCTTCTTTTTCTTGTGCGATTCATCATCCTTGCCATTCTGGTCGTTGTCATCTTCGGTATGGCGGCGCTTCTTCTTTTTCTTCATTTCGCCGTCTGTCGCGGGTGCCGCATCCTCGGAAATGGACTTGCGCTTTTTCTTGTCCTTCTTGTCTGACTTGGCGTCTTTTCTATTGGGAGTAGACTCCTCTGCGTCTGCGCTTCTTTCCTCTCCTGTAAAATCCTTCGATTTCTTGAGCTTCGATCCGAGCTTTTTCGACGCTGGGGACTGGGCGTCCGTCTGGTGCGCCATCGTTGCCGGGGTGGGTTGCGACAGGGTCCAAGGAAACACAAAATCGAACTGGGAGGAGCGTGACGCTCTAAAGAAGGCTGAAATTTGAAGGTCACAGCCTGTAAATGTGACCTCGACATGTGGTGCTGAGACGGTTGGGCGGAGACTACTTTTTTTCTGCCGATCAATTGCGCTGGCCAATCATATTGTCTCCTCTTTCTATATACTCTCAATGGCTATTTGCCAGGTGATCACCAATTGAAATATATCAAAAGGACGAATACAAAGATGGAGGGTACGGACTTATCAGTCAGAAATTTTTGTTTAGAAGTTCTGTTGTTGAGTCAACATCCGGATGCTGTATCCCCAACTGGACCATTCGAGCCCTGTAATCGATCAAGTATATAAAGTTCGACTTGTGGCCTAGTTCGTTCTCTTTATTAATTTACCAGTCATCTACAGATGATATCTCCAAGAAGCGAAGAGACGTGAGGGGGAAGAGAGCTACAGCCCTCCTATGGGCCAAGATGCCGGTTGCCGTAATCAACTCGTAGGTGCTGCAAAAGATTTTTTCCCCTCAGACCATATTGCTTAGTGCTAATATTTCTATTGCGATAGGTTAGCACAACTTCAAGAAATAACCGGCAGCGGTAAGCCCGTTGCAATCGAATGCTGGGCGGACTCGTGTGAACCTTGCGAAGCGATTTCACCTGTTTTCGAAGACCTTTCCCCTGAGTTTAGCCATGTTGAATTCTACAAAGTCGACTTCGATGAACACCAAGACATTATTCAGGTGCTTCGCGTACGTGAAATGCCAAGCTTCCTTTTCTTTAAGAATGGGGGGCAAGTTGGTGAATATGTTGGAGCCGACCCGCAAGCTTTGCAAGACAAGTTATGCGATTTGTACGGAGTAAGTTATGCTCCCGAATTCCTCCCAGGTCACTCCGGCGGGGTTTCCTGAGCGCCGCTCCGGAAACGCATCACCTTGCTCCTGGTACACTCTGGGGCTGCTCAGGGAGCCAAAGGCAGCGAGAAGTCGGACCGAAAAAGGAAAGGGCAAATCTCGAGATTTCCGCAAAAATGTAGCACAATGGTGGTTATACAGGTCTTACAGCAGAGAGCTCAGCGCTGAAGACCAAAGTATATAGCTCTCGCGGCAATTTCTGATGTTCGTCAAGTGGATCTACGAAATAGACCAAGCCCTCGACAGCCCGCGAGTGATTAGAGGATATAGACCCAACTATGACAGAGAGACTCAGTGAATCTACTGGTAGCTCAAAGGACTCAGCACCACATAAAGACGCATCGTGCCTGGGCCAGACCTACATAAAGAGTTGGTTTATCAGAAACTGCCCTCCCCTTACTTCTGCATGCAAGGGCAACCAAATATCTCACTGGCATCGATATTACGGACTTCTATCAGACTGGATACGAAAGAGCCATCAACAGAAGTTATGATTAACCTTTGATTTCCACGCGGCAGATCAATCGGAATAATGATAAGGTCTCAAGCCAGATTTCCAACTCGAGATTCGTGCATGGACACGGGTGTGTATAGCATTGAGATGAGTACGACATATTGTAAAATCCCGGGCTTCAATAGATCTAGACCTAGAAAGCCGAACACACCGAAGATCGAATATGGAAGATCTCGGCGGGGGTCATGTATGGCACAGGGGCACAACCTAACGTCCATGGTTGGTATATGGCTGAAAGCTTGGCAGGAGATCGGTGGGCTTGTCAACCTTGGAACTTCCTGTTATTAATCAATGGATGAATTTCTGCTTTGTAATATTATGCATTCAGCTCTCGACGGACTTTTATTACAGTCCGATGAAAAGAAAGATATCGTGGAACTCGTCAATTGCATTAATGATGCCCTCGCAAGAGGAAAGTAATGGCTGCAGACATCTATGTCCCAGTCCCAGAAGCAGACCCAGGATCATTAGCCCCAGTATCCCTCCTCTCCCTGCGCATCTCCTTCTGTACAAAACTCTCAGTTCCGGAACCCGTAGCCGCCGCAGATGCCGCAGCCCTCCGTTTCGCCTTCTCCCTTTCCTTCTCCTTCTCCTTATCCCTAGCGTTGGGACCAGCCAGCTTTCGTCGTTTAGGCAGTTCGTAGACATCGTTGAAGTTCATCACAACGCCCAGGAAGCGCATATCCACATCCGGCTGGTATGACAGATCGCCGAGGAGGACAGTCAGACGCGAGCGGAACTCGGCGGAGAGTTCGCGGAGCCGGACGCGAAGCGACGCAAGCATGTTGTCGTCGGCGGCAAGATTGGGGCCAGATAATGAAAGCGGGGTGCCGACGCCGTCCACCCCAGCACTATCAGGTCGGATATCCGGGGTCGAGGCCATTGAGATCCCGGTCCGGGTGTTGGATTGGCGGGAGAGGAGATCACGCTCTGTGAGACCCCATTGACCCTGGGCGGTGCGAGTCTCAATCTTGGCGTTTATCTCCTGGCGGCGGGTGAATTCCGCAACGGAGAAGGAATACAGGCCGTCTACGGCGTCTTTGTAGGCAAGCATGACCTTGAGGATCTGGTGGAGCTGGCTGAGGAAACTTTCTTCGGGTTGTTTGGCGGAGGTCGAGATCGAGGTGCCGTATCGCGAGGAGGTCGCGGATCCTAGTAGACCCTTGTGGGTGATGGAGTTGAGGTATTTGGTGTGTGCTTCGATAAGGTCGTCCAGGGTGCAGCCAGGTCTCCGGACTGCCTCAAGCAGTTGTTCCCAGCTGGACTCGATGACTTCGAACAAGATATAGTATTGGAGCTGGTTGACGAAGTGGATCATTTCTGCAATCACGCAGCGTGCTCGCTTCCAGTCTGCTCCGACTTTGTCCTCCACGTTGCCGAGCACTCCTCGTGCACCGGTCATGCATCGTCGCCAGGTGCTGTTCAGCGCGAACTCAACTCGCTTGATGCGCCAGAGGAAATTGAACACTTTCAAGTATTGAGTTGACGCCCAAGGTGTGATGACCACGTCCACGGGAGCATCAATTTTGTATTCCAATGTGAAACAATCCCATCCAATTTCACCGTGGCTCAGCTCGAGCATACGGGCATCAAGTCGACGCAGCACCTCGGGGGTGTCGTATTGTGCATTGGAGGCACGGATAGCATGTTCCAGCTGTGCAGTTAGGGTATGTCGATACTGTGAATTTGCTGGACGATCCAGATTTGTGGCAAGCGACTCCATGAGCAAAGCAATAAAGTCTCCTTGACCCAGTAGCAGGTAACTCTTCAGTGCTTCTAGGTGATCGAAGAGGTTAAATTTACCATTCATCAGGGAAATCAATCGAGCCATTGTGGTCTTATACGCCTCATCAATGGAGATCTCGAGAGTGGCGGTGTCACCGTATCGAAGCTCCTTGGAGGCTTTTTTTGAATAGGCCTCCACCCACGCCGAATCGCCGCAGCCATGGCGAATGAAGTTCAACGATTTTCCAATCAGGAAAATCTTCTTCGCAAACTCCTGAGTAATGATTGAAGGTACCATGTCATCATCAAGCTTATATTTGTCCTCCCAGACGCTGGTTGCAAGCCGCCGGGGATCAGTCTTCGGCCGGAACTCTGGATCTGCGACAAAGAATTCCTTGTATGGATCTGACAGTTCACCGTCGTAAATCCATAGTCGTAGCATGTCGTAGAATGGACGCGTCACATGTGCGAGAAGTTTCTCGGCAAATGCACACACGAATGGGTCTCCGTGGGATGTTGAAAAGCCGTGTATTAAGGAAATCAACTGGCCGCCCCTCTTGCCTATGACTTGCGTCAGCCATTAAGCAAATATAGTCATCTGTATGTGCACTTACTCTGAGCCTCTTCCACAATCAAGCTCATCAGTCGAAGGGCCATCGTAGCATCTCTCGTCCACACCACGCATCGCTTCAAGGTAACGCCACCCTTTCGTACACCTTGAGGCTCGGCTCCGTCTCCAATCGCTACCAGCGCCTGTCGGATTTCCGCCTCTAGTGTAGCCACCAGGCTAAGATATGCGCGCAGCTCAATGGCAATAGCAGCTCGCAAGCTCTGGTTCACCAGCCCGCCTTCTTCGCTCTGCACAAACGTAGACAGTCCCTTATAGAGGAGGCAAGGCTCCGCCAACGTGTTAAGAAGTGAGGTTATTGGCGCAGACAGATTTGAGGGCAATTTCAAGCTCGACGAAGAACTGAATTGCAGATTCGACGAAGATAACCCTTGCAAGTTGAACGGAAGGTCACGTAGGAGCCTATGCTCAACAGACCCAGACAATTTCGCCGGGCCCGATGGATTGGCGCTCGAAGGCCGAGGCGAGGCAGCACGAACATGCTCATCGCTGGGACGCTCATTGACTCCAGAATCAACGCGGGCGGCTGGTATTTCAGTCGAGCCGCGCCCAGCCTGATCAACACCGTTACGGTCGATATCACGTCGCAGCGAGCTCTGTCGCTCAAGCTTCGCTGGTAGTGCGCGTTGGTGTTGCTGCGAAGCCGACGAGCTGACAGCGGGGCCCTCATCCTCCGAGTCGATCATCGTGTCCCGTCTTGGGCGTGCACCGCCCTTCCCCAACATATTGTACAGGTGCGCCTCGTCCATTAACGGGCTCCGGCTTCGTTCCCCGCCATCCACTGGCTCATCCGAGGCAGATAACCTATAAAGCAAAAAGAGGATACCCCATTTCTGCGACAGCACAGGCTGCGTCAGGAGGCGAGAGTAGAGATTGGAAAACCGCACCGCCTTATCTGGGCTGACATTTTCGCGGCGCAGCTTGCGCTTAATCAGATCTGGCGCGTTGTTGATGTTTTCTGTTCCCGCAAGACTTCCGCGCCGTCCACCAAGCCCTGCTGGTGATCCTGGGTCTGGGGCGTTGGTACTGGCATGGGTGTCGAGAATGCGCCAGGCGCGCTCCATGAGGACATGGTGACGGCGGCTTTCGGCTGAGGCAAGGGCTTCCTCTGCGTCGGAGTAGTCTTCGTCTTGAATGGCGGAGATCGGGAGCGCGGGGGTCAGGCCATCTACTAGCTGGGAGAGAGCGTC